TTCCCTGGGGGATGATGAAAACCTCTAGACGAAAAGACAAGGACAAAGAGGAGGAAGAGGAGGAAGAGGAGGAAGAGGAGGAAGAGGAGGAAGAGGAGAAAGAGGAGGAAGAGGAGGCAGAGGAGAAAGAGAACAAAGAGACTCACTTGTTAAGGCCACCAACAGCAGAAGACCCACGCAGACGAGTGAAAGTTTGAGCCTCATTGTGACAACCTGGGAAGAGATATTCACCTGTTCAACATGGCAAGTCCACAAAGCAAGACAGCGTAGCAAAGCAAAGTAGTAAGACAACAAAGCAAGACTACATAGCCAAAACACATAGCAAGATAACGTAGCAAAACAACAAAGAAAGACTACGTAGCAAGAGAATGTAGGAAAACAACATAGAAAGACTACGTAGCAAGAGAAGGTAGCAAAACAACGTAGTAAGACTACAAAGCAAGACAACATAGCAAGCAACGTAGCAAAACAACGTAGCAAGACCACATAGCAAGACCACGTAGCAAGAGAAAGTAGCAAGACAACGTAGCAAGACCACGTGGCAAGAGAAAGTAGCAAGACAACGTAGCAAAACAACGTAGCAAGACCACATACGTGGCAAGAGAAAGTAGCAAGACAACGTAGCGAAACAACGTAGCAAGACAACATAGCAAGACCACGTAACAAAAATATATATTATATATAAAACGTAGCAAGACAGCGTAACAAGACAACAGAGCAAGACACCATAGCAAAACAAAATAGTAAAACGACATAGCAAGCCAATGTAACAAAACAAGAAAGCAAGAGAACGTAGCAAACAGCACAGCAAGACGAAAAAAACCCAAAACTTGCATCCAATATCATATGTGAGGCAGCGTGGTGGAATCAGGCTCTCGTCAAATTTTGGAGCTTGTAGAGTTATTGGTATCATCTTAAAGCTTGTTCACTTTTTTTTATTTGGATGAAAAAACAACAACATCCAGTTATGTGGAATACAAGTCGAGATGTTTGCGAATGAAGGAGGTG